TATATATTTAATATTAAACTTACCTTGTGTGTGTCGATTCGGTTCGAATCTGTGATATAAAAAAATGGTTTGGTAAATAACTTGGTTCGCATACTAATAGAGGACAACAACGACATCTTATGTAGTCATAAAGTTCTCCCTATGGATGAATATTGTACGGTCACAAGTCATTTTGACAGAAATTTATCGTTTGACAATTGTTAAACAGAAGTTTCGAGTTTCGAAAAATAGATAAAATTGGAATTCGTAGTGTGATTCAATTCTTTTTTCTGGAAGGGAAAACGACGAAGGAAATTCATGAGATTTCCCCTACATAGGATGGCTCATTATATATATATATATATTAGAGACCGGCCTGAACCGAAACAATGTTTTTCTGGTTTTCAGGATTTTTTTAATCTCTTCGATCGGCTACAGTCGATAATCGACAATCACTAAACATAGATTACATTTATACGGTAGCGATTAATCGGGGTTATTAACATCCATAGTTTATATAACTCTTGAAATATGTTCTCATTTACACGAAGCGATTTTAATTTATCTTATCGATGTTGTAACTTTTGAGTAAAGTCTCCCATGATAGCAACTTAAGAAAATAAAAAGATTAATATAAAATGAAATTTTATTTAGAATTATATACACATATTAATAAATAACAATATATATAATTTTATAAAGAGAAGAATATACAAGAGAATTTTTATAGTAAAGCACAATGGACATTATAAAATCTATTATTCATTAATTAAGATTCATCTTGAATATTGAATACCTATGTAATAACACACAGTCAAAAATATAAATATTAAATCTATTTAAATAAGGAAAAAAAAGTTAAAATAAAATAATACTTATTTAAAAATAATACTTATTTAAAAAAATAATTGAATTATTTAAATAAATAAAATTCTGTATATTAAAAAATAAATTGTTTATAATTGAAAATCGATTTGACTATATTACATAGTTCAATTCTTTTTTATATAATTACATTTTTTTCAAATTCTGAATATATTCGGTTTTGTTCGAACAGCGTACCCATATTTGGCGCCCTTTTTTTATACGTGACATTTAAATTCTTTTTTATTTCCGGTACAACAATTTTTTATTCCAGCAATACACCCATATTTAATATCTTATTTTTTCCTTTTTTTATAAATAAATAATTTTGTATTTGATTTTACTGATAATTGCAGATTGACTGTAGCTTTTTACATCAACTTTTTTTTATATGGCGCGCCGTACAAAAAAAGTAACAAAATTAAGCAGCGCGGCGCTTATTCTCGTATGAAAATACGTATCTCTTATTTTTGTCTATGAAATAACAATAAAAACTCATCAAAATCGGAAAGAAAAATTTCCATGAGTTTTCTTGTTAGAAGAGAATTTTTATAATAAAGCACAATGGACATTATAAAATCCGTTATTACAGGATTTTTGAATATTGAATACTTATGCAATAACACAATGAAGAATATAAATATTAAATTTATTTAAGTAAGGAAAGAAAAAGTCTAAATAAATAAATAAATAAGTAAATAAATAAATAAAGCGTAAGTAAAAATACATTGAACTTAAAAAATAATTGAATTATTTAAATAAGATTAGCTAAATTAGTAGTGATAAACATTCAATTTAAATATTTCTTTTTGTTTTTGGCATAAACTCATGTCACAGGCAAGTATTAATGCGTATCCTTTAATATTGGACAAATATTTCCAAATCTGTAAAAGAAATCTATATATACGAAAATGCATTTAGTCGATAAATCAGACAATCTTAGAATTCCTTTTATTGAAATACGTAGAAAAAAGCGTTCACTTAAAATTAATGTTGTTTCGAAGCAACTTCGAGAAGAATGTTTGATAATTTCGAAGCTCAGGCGAAAATTTAATAGATACAGATTTTTCTATAGATGGTTAGCTCCGCTTGTGAAACTTTTGACGATCTGACAAATGCTTCGCATCTTCCAGTAGTACAGAGCTGAAAATAAGCGAACAGTCGGCTGCTTGTATGTAACGTGGAATTTACGGTCCGGTGATTTGGCGAGAATTTAAAGCATTCTGCTGGGTTAATTGCGAAAAGCACCTGCGCGCCACTCTTGTAAAAGACCTATTTTGAGCTTTTTGGACTGCGAGACGAAACAGTAAACGTCGCCAGAAAACATTAATTAATAAGATACGTACGGATAAAAGTTTCTTAAGTTTGGTTCGACTTTCTTTGTTCGAGAAAACTTATTACTTGGGGGAACTTACTATTGGAGTGCGTACTCACTTATCGCGCTAGACGTATTGCATCCTCAATGATAAGCGAAGGTTTTGCAGGGAGACGGAAAGGAGTTGTTGAAGAAAAGGCGGATAAATCTCGGTGGAAAAAACGAATAAATAGCTCTCGTCCACTAAGCACCTACCTATCCGCAATAAGAGGACATCCCCCCTTTTCTCACATAAACTGACTGGCACTTCAAATCCTCTTATTTCGCGGATGAACACAAAATTCTCTATGAAGATATAAGGACAAGAGAAATTTTTTATACAAGATTAAAAAGTCGACACGTATACGTAAACATGTATAAATAAAAAATTCCCATGTCGTAAGACGGAACGTGCGCTGACGAACCTTTAGAATTAAAGCGAGGGTAGATCGACCGATAAAATGAGGACGATGGGAATTGTTCTGTACTTGTCTGTCCGTGACGAGCTCTTTTCTCGTTTATACAAACTTTAGCCATCCCTCAACATAGTCCATTCTCCCAGAAATTTACAAAAGCATATCGATTAGTTGGCGTGTTGCTAAAATCTCACGTCTCTAAACGCCAGGCTAACATGTTTTCCTTTAGCGATGTTACAAAATTTAATAATAAAATAAATAATAAAATATGAAATAGATGTAAAAAACATGATGAAAAATTCTTCTTTTATCATATTTATACGTTAAATTATTTATACGTTAGAGGAAATTGGCTCAGTACTGGACAATTACGGATTTCTCAAAATTGGAAAGAATTGAAAATGAGAATCAGTATTATTATTAGTATACAATGAATAGTTAATGAAGTAGAAATAATGTTTATGAAGAAAGTACATAAATAAATAAGCATTTAAATGTTAAAATAAAAATAAAATTTTCATGGAAAATTAAATATTTTAGAAAGTATTTTCCAAAACCGAATATGTAATAAATTTATATATATAAAATAATATATTTCTGTATAAACAATAGGGTAATCCCGGTATTTACGCCGCAGAAGTCATGAAAATAGCAGAAGTGGGGATAATGTGCACGCATCTATTCTGTTATATATCTATATGTTTTATTAATATTGTGTTATGATTTCAGTTTCCCAGTATTAATATTAATAAAATTATTGTCAATTGAATCGATTTGTCAATATAGTGAATGCAATTATATATCATAATCCACATAAAATGATAATTGTATAGATTGTGAAGGCTTAATGGTTATATAGCAATACATAAATGTATTATATGATGGTATATAAATGTAAAGGGATAATAAAGAATGGAATATATAGCTTAAAATATAAGTGCTTAGCTGTTCTTTGTTCAGCTTGAAGACTCCTATATCCCGCTTGTTGAGATATTTTTTTACGGACAGGATTTATGCATACAAAGTGCGCAGATTGAATTATTTAGTGCACTAAATGCAGTAAACGCATTACATGAAATATA